TTATTCGTAAAATATTTTTAATAATTTGATAATATTAAACCAAAAACTCACTTTGACCAGCGTGAGATTCTGCTCCTGGAATACTTCCAAAACCACCATCAAAATTTTTACAAAGCATGATGAATTCAATGGCTTTCTTAACATCTATAGCATCCAAACGCTTTAACAATGAAAGACATGAAATAGCAATATATGAAAATCTAGTGTCTATCTCTCCCCACTCATCACCAGTAAAAGCACCAGTTTGACGATCTTGACGAGACGCGACATCTACAGAAGAACTATTTAAGTAATTACGTCTTACAGTTTAAACCAGTGTTTAAAATTTGATGTTCCCCAGTGTTTAAAATATATTTTCTATTTAAGATATTGAATTTTTTTTTTTTTAATTTTCTTAAATAAAGAACATTAAAGAAATTTTGAAAACCTTAATAATTCAGAAATACTTTTAATTTTTTGAGAAAATAGATCAAAATTGAATTTAAACACTGGTGAAACTATGCTCAACGTATAAAGATCTTACATTCTACAATCTTTTCAACATTGGCAGCTTCCAAAGAATCTTCAGTTATTAAAATTTGAACTGCATAAAGAGTATATGATATATGTGGATCATGTCCTATATGTCCACCAAATCCACCTAAAATGTTAATGACAAAATAAAATTACTAACTGGTTCAAAAATTATCAATAATTCACCCATCGGTTAGTTTTTAGGAGGCTACCATTATCGTGTTGACAAGAAACCACATACTTCACCACGTCCTCCCTTTTGAGGGCATCAATATTGTTCATTAAATCTAAAGCTGTTAAACCCCAGTATACTCCACTCAAACGAAGATGTTCAGTGAGCCAATATTCCAAGTCATCTTTTTTCTTAAAATAACGTTTATTAAACTATGAATTTAATGTTAAAGCATTCAACTACATAATGAGTAAAGGTATTTAGTTACCGTATCAAGAGATTGGATGTATTTAACATGTAAGTCAATATAAAGCTCGCTTGGTCTTCCCGTTTTCTCCATGGAGGTCATGAATGAACTTTCCATTCAAGCATGATTGAATATCTATCTGATTTGTTGTCGATCCTTACATTTTGATTGGCTAAGTATAATAGATGTTTTTATGATAGATATACTTGGATCCGTATTTCTGTATTTAAGAATTTACTAATTTACCCCACCATTTCTAATTGGCTGTACTATTTATTCACTTAGCGGAGTATTTATTTTATTAATTTTTTTCTATTTCGATAGTAAAGTGGTGGGGGGGAAATTAGGGCATCCCGTACTTAACGTTAACGTTATTAATCATTAGATCCGGACTTAATCATTAAATCCGCAGGAAGTCTGAGCCCTTACATGGGTAGAGTTATGGTATTACTAGCACTATATAAAAACGAATATTTCTACTTTCAACATTTTTTTATTCCATTAAATTTACCAAAATAGTATTATAAATAAAGGTCAAAATGGCCCTATAGGAAAGAAAAAAAAATAATAACATATACTTTCGTTAAACCCTCTAACCCAAAATCCCGATCTATCCTACAATACAATACTGTTGTCCATGTGATTTATACCTTAATTTGTCCAGATAATCTGGAAGTACTAAGTCTAGCCGCAGTATTCATATTCCAACTATCCAAGTGATAAGTGGTTAGGTTGCCCAAAGTACAGTATCACTTGCGGTTGTAGTGTAAGGTCCCGGAACCAGAGATAAAGAACAAATGGATAAACTCCAACATAGAGAATTGAGAAAGATAACAGTAGTAGTGGAACCAAATACGCCAAACCATAGAATAAGTATACCTACGGAACCCAACCAACTCGCCCACCTTTTTGACAAAGCCGATACGAGTAATTTAGACCCGGTTTCAATAGTGTGCTACGAAAGACTTACTGGAAATGCGAAAGAACGATTAAAACTCAGAAAAAGCACCAAAGGAACCACCGAACCCGAAGAAGAATCAAATGAAACTTGTCAAAACTCGACGAAGTAAAGTGCCAAAACTCGATGAAGTAACGTACCAAAACTCGATGAAAGAAAGTACAAATTAGAACTAAATTCAACGAAAAAAAAAAAAAACGATTGAAACACGTCGAAAGAGTAGAAACCCCACCGAAAAAGCGAAAGAACCTACCTAAATACGACAAAGAACCCACCGAAAAAAAAGCGTCAAAATTCGACGAAAGAACATACTGAAATCACCGAAAAAAAAGCACTAAATTCTACGGAAGAACCTATTGGAAACGCGAAAGAACCACCGAAACCCGACGAGAGAATGCACCTAAAACGTCGAAAGAACGCACCGAAAGAAAGCACTAAAATTCGACGAAGGAATAATCCATTG